TTCGGCCGGACTCGCTCCTGTAAAAATGTTAACCACGGGAAATGAGACTTAAAAGTCCCAGTAACTAAAACTTAATATGTAATGATGCATGCGGATGTAACTAATCATGCGATTGCTAAGTGGGCAAACAAAATATTTAACCGAACAATATTTTCAAACAAACCGAACAAGTATTTAATTTGCATGACTGTACCTTATATCCTCCTTTCGCCATGCTCGGACGCCAAATCACCTGGCAAAAGGTGAGTTGGACCAAGCGACACGCCACTCATTGGGTCTAATGAGGGCTTATCACGTGGTAATAATTAACCGAACAGAAATTCTCATTAACACCATATATTAAAATACCCTGACAAGTCATGCATCATAAATTCATCCAAAAATAAATTAAAATTTTTAAAATTATCTTGAAGCCTCAAATCACCTTTTTATATCCTTAAAAATACCTATTCATACTTAAATAAATATTTAATAATCAGAGGTTCATCCCTACATCTCAGATTCGACATAAATTCAACCATATAGATCTAGAGTTTAACTCAAAAATTCTTAAACATGAGTTTCAACCTCAAAAAAATATTCTATAATATTTAATATATCCCTAAGGGCTTTAACCTATATTTTTAATCTAGCAAATCATCAGATTAACTATCCTATAGAAAAATCTTAATGAAAATATTTACTCTATCCTACAAAATAATCATATCACTAGAAAGCTAATACTATTTAGAAAATAACTATAAAATTAATTTTGTAATTAAATAATTTTTTAAATGCTAATATAAACAGGAAAGTTAGAACATACCTGAAGAAAAAAAAATAATCCCCTCTTGCGAGAAAACGCCGAGCAACGTGAGAGGAAGAGAGAAAAATAATATAAAAATGAAATTGTGAGTCCCAAAATTATATTAAAAAAATTATAAGTCTGAATTTAATTATTCAAACCTTTGGGCCATAAGTTACAATTTTCTCTAAATTACATCTTAGCCTCTCATGCTTCCTAATGCACACACCCCCTCCTTTTTATACATGAAGGCACCTCTTCCCTTCCCTCATCTAACCAATGTGGGACTTAGAAACAACAACCTTCCACCCCCCGTTTTTTTTGTTCCTTCTACCTTCTCTTTTTTTTTTAACACACACATAAAAAAAATTATTTATATATTATATCTTAACTAAATATTGCTTGTATAGTTTTAAATTTAAATTTTTAAATTTATAATTAAATACCTAACCATAATATCATTTCTAAATAACCTCAAATAATATAAATTCCTATTATTATCATTTTTTTCTCAAAACCTAAATTCTATAATTTATTTATTATATAAAAATCAGGATGTTACATCCTCAGTGAAAAATTTATTTTATATTTATTTTTAAGTAAAGTACCTTATCAATTAAAGATAAATATAAAAAAGATAGGAGTAATTTGAAAACAATTAACTTATTGATTAGAAATGAGATTCGATTAAAAATGTCTTACCATCATCATAGGAGGAAGTACTTGCCACATTTTTTTCCAATCAGATAATAAGTTGTGCTTCCTTCGTTTCAAATTATAAAACATTTTTAGACAAAATCTAACACGTCAATAAACCTCATTAAATATATTTAATAATTTTATCTTTTCAAAATAAAAATATGAACTTCTAAAAATATTTATTATTTAATATATTAAAAATAAAAAAGATAAAATTAATTATAGAAAGAAAAAGGATAATATTAAAATTATTATATTTAATGAAACCTTAATCTACTCAAAGTATTTTATATTTTGAGATGAAAAAATTCTTTTAAAAATATCATGTAACTCGAGACGGAGGTAGTAGATTTTTTTACCACTTATTTATCACATAACCAACTTTTATTATGACTTTTAATTTTAATTTACACTTAAATTTAAGTACCTAAGTATTCTTATTTAATTTTTATTAATTATATTTCCATCCTCTCTCTGGATTTTAACAATCTTATAGTTGACAGAAATGGGGCCCACGGGCTCCCTTGGATGAGGTGAGAAAACCGTAGAAAAAGGGCGGTGGGTAACCAACCTGAAAAAGATTCTTCCACGTTTTGTATTAATAATTATATTATTTTGTTGAAGTGCTTCTAGAAACCCGTTTCAACCTTACCAAACTCTTCATCAAAGCCGGCTCCTCCAAATCGTCATCTTAAATATAAAATATACTCACATACTTTTTTCCCCATTTTTTCACTCCCAGAGATCATGGTATTAACAATAAAACAAATTTATATTTTTTTTGTTGCCCAAAGTATTCCCACATCTGGTAATTATAAAATTAATCCCTCAAAAATTTGAACTCTATTTATTTAATTTTTCTATAAAACAAATCTATATTTCTATATAGATCTTTTGAACAAATAGGAGTTGAGCTGGCAAGACATGAAATTTAAGCCTAATCTTCGTCCTTAAATTTGGTTAATGTGATTGTTATGGTTAAAAGGGAAAATAAGTAACCTTAATCATGGAAGGTATGGGAAGTTAGTTATTGAGATGGACCTGAATTGAAAAGGTAGGTAGAATAAGTTGAGAAAGAAAAACTTCTAGAATCGTAGCCTATTAGCAGACAAATTATTCAAAGTGAATTAGCTGTAGAAACAAAGTGGAAAGTTGAAAGACCATTCACACCCAGAAGAAAATTGAAAAGAAAATCAACAAAGATAAAAAATTAAACGATTGGATTTTTTAGCACCTAATCAATCAAACCTATTTGGTGTCAATAAAATGTCCTTCGAATTTTTTCATAACAATCTCCTTTTCTCCCCTCTTTTGATTAATACTTAGCCACAACCTTTTAGCTTTCCATGGGTCTCATAATCTCCTCGTCCTCTAAGATTACTTCTTTTCTGCCAAGTTCTATCTCAGCTTTTAATGTAATTAAATGTGATAAATTTTGCTGGTTGATAGTAATTAATTAAATGTGATTTAAATACAGTTGATTTTCATCACCCATTTATATTATTACCATATATATAGACACAGGTTGACCCTATCACATTTAATTTATATGATTCTTGTACCTGATTATGTATATGAATTTGTATTTTTTTAGGGATTAGTTGCACATCTAAGAAACTTAATTTGATTAAAGAAATGAAAATAAAAATAAAGTCTCCATTTTAACATGATAAATTAATTGCATGCGCATTTATATTGATATCATCTTTATCATGAGGATGACCTGTCTCACATTTTAATAATTTTATTTTCATCCATATATTTCCTTAGTTCATTTTATTCTCATCCTTTCTGCTAACTAGCTAATGACCTCTTAGTGTTATTGTTGAGTAGTTCCTGAGTGTGCAAAGTGGCATCAATCACTTTTAGATGCTTTTTGCCAAAAGAAAAATTGTGTCAAAAGATTCAACTTCTATTACTCAAACTAAAGGCTGTGTAGCCTGATCAATTTGTCAAAAAATAAAGGATATATAATATTATGCTCTATTTTTTTTTTTTGCTAAAATGTAATATAATGCTCTCACTTATAAAGGCTATGGTCTGCGGATTTAGAAGCTTAAAATTTGTCAAATTTTGCACATATTCCCTCAGTCACCAAAAAGAAAGACAAATATTTATGATGCCTCTTCATTCATTCGAGATAACCATGTTGATTTTCAGAAGTAAATGACATAGGAGTATATGTTATTTATTATCACGATACATATATAAATATATATACAGAGATTTTGAGGTATTTTAGGCAAAAAATTTCAGTAGAATTTCAAATTTGTTTTATTCTATAATTTTAAAATCTAATAATAGTTGGGTATATATTTAGTCATTTAATTAACTTTACATAACGTTTTATTTTAGTCTCTTAACTTTATAAAATGTCTTTTTAATCATTTAACTTTAATACTGTTATTTTATCCTTACAAATTTTTATGTTAAATTTTTAAATGTTGATAAAATATTTCAAATGTTAGCATATTAAATTTAATTTTTTAAAAATAATAATAATTAATATAAAAAATAATCATTTAAAATTAACAATGTTACTTTATAAAATTAAATAATTAACTCAAAATTTAGATAAAATTAAAAAATTAAATATATATTTTAACCTAATAAATGAATTAAGTGAAAAAGGTTCAATATCCTTTAAGGGGGAAAAAAGGCATGTGAATAAAACCCACACTAAAAAGGAATCTAAATGTCAAATGCGTTTTCCTCGAGTTGAGAGAACACCCCAAATTACTACTACCATTTATTTGAAGCTCAACTCAATGTGTTATTTTTTTTTTAAGTATAAAAAACAGGTTAACGATATTTTTCATTGAGAGAAAAGATAGGCCTTTTCAAATCAAATTAATGCATGATTTTATACTATATGGTACTTGTATAAAAATATTTAAGTTTAAAACATATTAGACCATATTTTTTTAATAACTAAACTCACAAATGAACTTTATAGATACATTAAAAAATATTATTAATAATTTTAAAATGATCACAAAAAATGCTAGCAATTTGATTGATTTAATTTAATAATAAATTATAAATCTATATAATTACTATAAAAATAATTTGAATATATTAAATCATAGGAAATGTTAAATATAAATTTGTCAAAAAATGGAGAATTACATGTAAGCTCCACTCGATATAATTAATTATTTTTATATCAATTGACAATTGAATTTAGGAGAACAATAACAAAATATATTGAGAAAGATTTTAAAATAATTCTTTTAAATTCGGTTGTAAATAAATTTAAAAATAATTAATTATATTAAGTGAAGTTATCCCAATAAAAATGGAAGGGGAATACGAAAAGTAGAATCACCTACCAAATCCGGCACTAACTTAAATCGTAACCACTCGTCTTCCTCACCAACTCGGTCAAACACACAGAGATTGAGAGAGAGAAATATATATACTTTCTCTTTCTCTCTGAACAAAAAGTGGTCCCACATCAGTCAATAACATACATACATACATACCTCTTCTCTTCTTGCTTCCTTGCCCTGCCTTCACCTTCTTCCCTTTATAATCCCCTCTCCCTCCTCTTCCCTCTCTCCGATTTTCTCACCTTTTCCCTCACTTTCTCTCCTACCAAACAACCACCAGCCATGGGCAGATCTCCTTGCTGCGAGAAGCAGCACACTAACAAAGGCGCTTGGACCAAAGACGAAGACCAACGCCTCATTAACTACATCACTCTTCATGGCCAAGGCTCTTGGCGCTCCCTTCCCAAAGCCGCCGGTACGCGTGACACAGAGACAGAGCCCTCTATTGTTCCTCCTCTTTTTAATCTTTAATAATGCTGTGTTTCTATCTCAATAGGGTTGCTCAGATGCGGGAAAAGTTGCAGGCTCAGATGGATTAATTACCTCAGACCTGATCTCAAGAGAGGCAATTTCACTCCTGAGGAAGACAACCTTATCATTAGCCTTCACAGCTTACTCGGCAACAAGTATATACACTCAATCCCCTATTCTCCTTCTTTAATTTTCTCTGTCTGTTTCGAGTTTCAACCAAACCCAGAATCCTATGCCACGAATCTTTGATTATTATTGCTGCTTTTCGAAGTGACAGGAGTGATTTTATTCAATGTTATCTTGTTCTTCCTTTTCTTCTTCCTGTTCTCAAATACTGACACGCGCTTGCTTTTCTCACTCACTGTTACTCAACTATTTATTTCATCTTTTGCAAATTTCTAGGTGGTCTCTCATTGCAGCAAGGTTACCGGGTCGAACCGATAACGAGATCAAGAACTACTGGAACACCCATATCAAGCGCAAACTCTACAGCCTCGGAATCGACCCTCAAACTCACCGTCCACTCAACGCAGCCGCCGCAGCAAACACAACGGAGATCACCGGTAAGAAGAGAAGTAGCGGCAACCACCAAAATAACCCAAAACTTGAGCTAGTCTCGTCAGGCGAAGATTCAAGCAGCAACAGTAGCAGCGGGATTACCACAGAGGAATCAGCAGACAATTCTGATCATCATCAACAACAACTCAACTTGGAGCTCTCAATAGGTCTTCCTTCTTCCTCTGACGACACTAAAACCATCGTCGTTCACCCCTCAGGAAGCTTAAAACGACAACGACGAGAGGAAGTGCAGGTTGCGTTGCGGTGGTATGGGAACGATAATGAAAGTGGTGAACAAGTTTGTTTGTGTTGCAGTTTAGGTTTTCAGAGTGTTGGTGGTAATCAAGCATGTAGGTGCAAAGCCATGAAGAGTAGTACTTCTTCTTCAGTAATTACTGCACCTACTTCAACTGCTCGGCATCAGACAATAACGTTTACAGATTTTTCACACCCATGAATTAGTTCTTATTAGCTAGATACTGCTAGTCTAATTATCGTAGAATTAATCAATTCCCAACGCTAATTATTACTTACCGTAATATTTTTGTTGTGTCTTGTTAGAAACGATTATAATGGAAATAGCTCTACCGTACCATGCACTGATCTCATTCTCATCCCTTCCTAACTTACCGTAATTAGTTCTTATCGCGATACATGTAATTATATAGGAAAATATTATTCAAGGACCACTAAGCATATTAAATATCAAATAAGGATAAAAACATTTTGAAATATCACTACTAAACTAGAGGACTTATGTAAAAACAATTTTAGATGAGAAAAGATTATAATATTTCTACTTTTGTTTTCTTTTTAAACTTATTAATCAGTGAATGATCACTTCTTAAATATGAATGAGTAATTATTAATTAATATATGACTATTTGTTAAAACATGATATATGTGTGTGTATGTACGCGCGAGCTTGCCTCTTCCCACAACAAAACTCCTTTAAATGTTTGAACTTATTAAATAACGAATGACTTTACTTGTGCTGCATAATATTTCATAATATTTTGATTCTTGAATGATATTTTCCCTCATTATATATCAACATTTCACTCTTTGCGCGCTCCTGTGTCTTCAACGTTCAAGTGTTACATTTTCCCCATCTTTAAATATTTCTTTTATTTCTTTTTTCTCTCATTTGTTTTAAGACTATATACAGGGCATTTATAGAAACCAAATAATTAAGAATTGTTATATTTTAATCCTCTTTACATATCATATTCCAACCCCACCTGTTTCAATTAAGAATGTTGCTCATTGCTACTGTAAATTTCTATATTGACAAGAATATGACTAATAATCATTAAACTGATGTATAGTAGCTAATTAATCAATTTATAATTCATATTACGTCCTCAATATATAGTAATTAATATTTTGAAGTCCTTTTTCTTTCTTTAGTCAATGGAAACCGTGTGTGTGTGTGTGTGTGTGTGTGTGTGTTGAGAGTACATATCATCGTTTGGCTAAAAATTGAACTTTTTGGTGACGGAGTGGCTAGGATTTATCGATTATCAGAGGATATAATTACAGTCAGTTTGAGATGCTATGTATAGTATGTACTCTGAGGGGACATTAAGTGGTCGAGCAAGTAGGAGAATTTGAATTTGAATGCAGAAACCTACCATTTTTTTGTCAGAGGAAGAAGACAGGTGAAAATTTAAAGGAACAGAAGACTATATATGATGTACATGGTAAGATGGCGAATGACCTTTCACCATTTAAAATCGGCATATATCTGTCCACCAACTCTCTGTCGTTTCTTCTTCTTATTACAAATCTACCTGCTCTACACACACACACACACACACACACACACGATCGATAAACAACATCTCAATGTTTGGAAATTACACTAGCCATTTTCACCTTATTAAAAAAAGGCTAATTCACCTAGCGCATGCAGAATCAATTATCAAGGGGTTATTCCAACTTAATGAATAATCTCGAGTTTGAGTCATGTGAATACAATAATGTTAAAATTTTGCGGTAGAACCCACTGCCTGAAAGGGTCTATTAATGCTCAATCTAGATTTGTCTCCACTTCTGTTAAGTCCCATTAACTCGACCTAGAACATGCTCAAAATACAAATACTTTACTTTTTGTATCTTTTTTAAAATACGCAATTATAAAACATTCAATTCAAATATAACGTTTCTGTTTTTAAATGTTATATATATATATATATATTATTGGCATGACATTAAATTTTGATTTGGGTTTATGTGTCTCTTGGTGATTGTTCAGTATTGATCAAAACGTTGTAGTATTATTAACTGATGATTATAAAGGAATATTACATGTGTGTGTGTGTGTGTGTGTAATATCAAGTGCAGTCAAAGGCAACCATTAACGTTGAAACATAAAAACAGTGTTAATTTATATATCTTGGAGAATGTAATATTATGGGATACGATGGCTACACTAATTCATTCCCAATTAATTAATAATGGGAAACATATAATATTTGCTAATTTCAACTGTGAGTTTGTGGAATGCAGCAATTTGATAAAAGGGAAATGTATTTTAGTTTAGCCAAATATACAGATAACGGAACATTCTTAATCAAAGGAAGGAATTCGAAATTGGTAGGTCAATGGCTACTTAACTAATTAAATAAAACGGGAGAGATCGGAAAAAATCAACGCGTGAGGAGAGGAAAATAATCAGAAAGAGACCCAACAGAGACAAGGAAAGTCGGAAGAAGCGTATGGGTTTGAGTTTTTCTCCTCATCATCATCTAGAAGGAAAAAGATGGATGAATTGCTGATAATAGTTTGATTGGTTGGATCATCCAAAAACTCAAGTAACTATATTAATAATATAATTAATTATTTCTCCCGGTCCAAAGACCAATATATATTAATTAGGTTATTTTGTTAGTTAATAGACAATTTAGTTTTTCAAAGAATATCAAAATAAAGAATAATTAGGGAAAATCGATGTTTTTGACTTAGTCTTGTATTAAAGAGTTGTTATGACTTATGAGCATAAATCCAACGAGCAAGCAAATCTCATAAGACTCCCGTTGATGAGTGGGAAAACCGCTCAAACATTTTATAAATAATTAATGCCACTTTTATTATGAGGTTTTTTAATATGAGACTTACTCCCTCCTTTAAAAAATATATATTTTTTAAAGAGTTAGATATTTAAAAATGTAAGACATTATTATTCTTTTGAAGTATAATTATTATTTTTTTTAAAAGTACTCTTATTTATAATAAATTTTTATTTATTATAGAGTATTTAATATAAATAAATATAGCAAGATAGAGTTAGTTAAAAAATAAATAACTACTTTAATAAAAAATAAAATTTAATTAAAAATATTTTAAATTTTTAAATTGAGAGAATTTATCAATACATCTCCTATTTAATATGTGACATTCCCAAACATTCTAACCCATAACACTTTAATCAATTTCTTGCTGGTTAGAATTGGGCAGAGTGGACCTTTCCCTGACGTCAGCTTTTCAGTGAAAAAACCAACAGTCATACCAAAAAAATCAGGTTGTTATATAAATAGGAGAGCGTCTTAAATTTATAAACATTTTATTTATAATGCTCCTTGACGTACGTGGAGAATGGTGTTATTATATGTGGAATCAAAAATAAGATTATGAAATCTGAATATGAGATAGAGATAGAGAAGTGATGATGGATGGAGGTTAGGAGCTTCTTTAATGAAAAAGAGGCATGAGAAATTGAATGGTGGAGAGGTGAAAAATTAAGGACCAGTGGGTCAGAATAATGTGGGGAGAATAAAGACCAAGAGAAGAAAGAAAAGGTAAACGGATGAAGAGAATAATCCAAATTAAACAAAATTAAAACGAGAGAGGGACCGCAAAAGAGAAAGGGAGGAACAGGGAAAAGCACGAGGATGAGAGCCTGAGAGGAGCCTGTGATTGAGAGGGCGGTTTGGTGGGGGGAGCAGTGGGGCCCACCTCGCTATTCCTAACGTAAGGATGAGGAACAACGCATCGTTAATTAAATTAAATGAAATATCAGCACAGCCATCCCATTCGTTCGTTCCCGTAGGGGTTGGTAGAGATGAGGCTCTGACGTCACACCCCACCTACCCTTTTTCTCTTTCCATTATTCTCTGCTTTGTTTTTTTCTTTCCAAACAATCTTAACAGATCAAAATTAACATATAATGTGATTAAATAGGTAAAATTATCTATAATATTCATTATTTTTCATTCCAATATAGATTATAAACATCTATGATTCTATATATCAAACATTATATCAAGATGCTGATAGCAAATGATAAACCTATAAAATAGCTGGGGATTTGATTTTTATATAATTAAATAATATTCACTCCGTTTAAAAATATAAACATTTTTTAAAGAGTTAAATATTTAAAAATATAAAATATTTTTAATTTTTAAGGTGTAATTATTTTTTTTTAAAATACCCTCATTGATGATGACTTTATATTTATTGTAACGTATTTAATAAGAATAAATATAAAAAAATATAACTATTTGAAAGTAGTAATTATTTTATTAGGGTGAGATTTAAATAAAAATACTTTATATTTTTAAATAAAAAATAATTATTATACTAATTAAGATAAAATCCGTTTTTGAGATTTTTTTTTTTTAAAGAGAAACAGAAGTTAGGAATTTGTGAATAAAATGTTTAATAATGTGTGTTAGTGTGAAGGATATAAAGATTCTAGAAGGAGTAGGTAGTATGTTGGAAAGAGCCAATGGGTAATACATACATCTAGAAGGTTAATTGAAATGGAACGCACTCTTCTACTTGCTTCCCTACCCAATTCCTCTCATTTTCACTATCTCCCCCTATTATTGCTGTGCGTTCCTTTTCTCACTCCTTAATTTGGTCTTCTTGTTCAGCTCAGCTGTCATTTATCCTCCAACATGTATACCACCAGCCCACATTTTTCTACTCCACGTTCTTTAGCCACACAATTCATTTCGAATCATAGTTGAATATTTAGTACATGAGCTACTTTCTCAACGACAATGATTATTTAAATATTAATTTATCAAATAATTAGTCTTTTTATGCATATAGTCTCTTCATCCTCCCTTTTTTCCTTTCCTTCTCCTCATCCCATCTTTACCTTTAGATAAAATTTAACATGCATGCACGATTTATAACTGCAATAAAAATAAATAAAAAATTTAATAAATGTACACAATTGTGAACTGCACAAATTTTAACCGTTTGAATTTATTTATTTATTTATTACTTTATATATTTAAAAATATAAGACATTTTAAGTTGAATCTTACCTCTCAATGAAGTAGTTACTTATATTCAAATTAACCATATTTTTTTATATTTACCCTTATTTAACAGTATTTCACCCTAAAATAAATATAAAGTGATTTGTTTAATATGGATACTTTAAAAAAAAAAAAAGCAATGATTATACCTTAAAAAATAAATTATATTTTTAAACATCCAACCTCTCAAAAAATACCTTATATTTTTTAACGGAGGAAATATTATCATAATTATTATTTAAGAATTAAATAATTAAATTTAAACCATTCATTTTATTATTCAAGAGACCCAACACTCCTTAGTTCTAATCTTATAATC